CAACATACTAATTATAGTCCTCATTATTGGGATCCACAAAAAATTACCCCTAATTTTGGAAAAGTCCCTTTTGTGTTCACGTCAGTCTATCTTCGTAGACGGTCTAAAGGCGGCAGGAGCCGAAATAGCGAATCTCAGCCAAGATCTGAGTGCGGCTTCGATTCCAAATCCAACCCCCCCACGGTTTGTGTTAGGGTTTAGGGTTTAGGGACCCCCTCACGGAAACCCTCTGGAGGCCTGGGACTATTCCTCTTTGCGAAACGTGCGCTTTAGGGTTCTTTTTAGGATTAAGGACTGGGTTTTAGGGTTTAGGGTTCATAATAACATGACTATCCCGCAAGTCTACGAGTAGATTTCTCCCCCCATCCCGAGTTCTTCTAGGTTTATCCGTAAGGCTAGGTATCTAAGGCCCCTGCCCTCCATCTATAGATTGGGTTACTCCCCTTACAGTAACGGTTAAAGCAAAAATCTTCAAGGTAATGAAATGCTCTTGAAGGACAGTTACTGTTTTGGCAAACCACCCGATCTATAGACTTACTAACCCTAAACCCTGAATCCTAAACCCTGAACACTAAACCCTCTATCTATGTGCACATATACAGTTCGAGACATGAACTTGACAGGCTTCTTACCCGCCCGTGACGAGAAGATGGAATTCCGGAGACGCCGGTGCCCAACCTTTTCCCTCTCAACTAGGATTTAGGGCTTAGGGGTTTAGGGTTTAGGGTCGGGGGTTTTGGGTTTAGGGTTTAGGGTTGGGGGTTTAAGGTGTAGACCTTGGGGGTTTAGGGTTTAGGTTTGGGGGTTTAGGGTTTAGGGTTTAGGGTGGGGGCGTAGTGCAGGCCCGTCCTCCGGAGACCTGGATGCTTCACAGAACTCGACCTGAAGCCGCCGCTTGGGCATAGTTTCGAAGAAGATGATGTAGCTTTTAGGAATACCCTGACCCTAAGTCCTAAACCCTAAACCCCAAACCTTAGACCCTAAACCCTAAACCACAAAACCTCAAGCCTAAACCCCTAAACCCCAAACCCCAAACCCTAAACCCTACATGTAGTGTGTAGGGTTCAGGGTTTGGGACTAGGAGCGGGCTACTTCAGCGATGAACTCTGGGTTCGGGGGTGCAGCCGTATGTTGATCGGGTATGGGGTATATGAGTAACGTTTTTTTGGTAGTTGAACCTAGTAAGATAATATTCCTTGTATGAAATACTATACCCAAAAAGGAGGATATAATCTTACTCTATATTGGGTACCATAGTATCCCCAAATAAGATACTCCTCATATGGAGATCTTCTATATAACCCCCTTTAAGGAGTTTAGACAATGGCTCATATGGAGATCTTGTTTATAGGGTTGAGGGTCTAGGGCCAGGGTTTAGCATTCTGAGCAATTCCAGATTCTATCTACTTGCCAGCAAGCCCATCTTTAATATTATACCCCTATATAACCCCTATATGATCCCTATAATACCTATAATCCCCATAGTTTCCATTTCATTTTCCATTATCCCTATATAACCCCTACATTATACCTTCCTTGAACAGCATGAATTCGAGCTTTGGGACCGAGGGAGGCCTCGGGCGGTTGAGACTAAGATCCTGCATGACCCTAAGCACCTCATACCGTGGAAAGTATGGTACTAAAGTAATATTAAACCCCTATATAATCCCTAGAATACCTATAATCCCTATAGTTTCCATTTTGTTTTCCATTATCCCTATATGCACTGTAGGGGCTTCGGTCCTTTGAAAGGCCCACACACCGCTCCATGTTGTGATCCAGGGAATATATACATCTTGCATGCACATTAACTCATTCCAAGTCAAGGCACCACTTGGATGCGGTAAGCGCAGATCTTACGAAAGGACGCCCACCCCATACATCCCAGCCATGGCTTTCATACGTTCCCTATGAATATCGGCCAAAGAATTCCCAAAACAAGGTTGCTTCTTGAATTGCCTAAACCCTGGATCCCGAAGCTAAAGCCCTCGAAGATGACTCCCTCATGAGCTCTTTTACAACTGGATTTCAACAGAGCTGGTTGTCAACAACAGGCTTCCCCTATCTACACCCAGCAGTTGCCCAGAAGAGTAGGATCTTAGAGGGGGTTCTATAGGGGATTTTATACTAATATAGGGGAGCATTATGGGGCTTGTTAAAAGGGATTCTAGGAGTTTTAGACAAGATATCCCCGTACCCTGAAAGAACAGGCACACGATCTGGCGACAACCTAAATCCTACTCCTTAATCTCTCAAGCACAAATTTCTAGGTAATCCTATAGTCCCCCTTAAGTAGATAGAATCTGGGGTATATGGGGATCTTATTACAATATACCCAAAGCCGTANNATCTACTTAAGGGGACTATAGATCTTAAACCCTGCACCGGACCATGTATCAAGAAGACCCCTTCTGAGTTCCCCGCCTGCTTGCCGCTCAGTCAGCATGGCGAGAATGTTACACGTCTCAAAATGAGGGTCCCTTCATAAACTTTCAGCAAATCTATAATACAGTATCTTGTGGTATATTCAAAAATATAGTATGATATAACTATATTATAGCATAATCCAAAAGAAAAAGGTAATATAATAGCATATAATATGAGTACATTATAGGATAATGCAATATAATACCATACAATGTAATAGAATATGGTATCATGTAGCATATGTGGGGGATTGAGGTTGAGGGTTTAAGTTGAGTTGTTTAGGCCGAATATGTGGAAGTTTGATGCGTATGGTTCTAGCGGCTTATATCTAATATTAGCCAGGGACTGTTGACAGTGATGGTGTCTCGGTGTGTAGAGCTTAGGGTCAAAGGTGTTCAGGCATATAAAGTAAGCGTTCAATACACCCCAACAGAATGTCCAGGGCATGCACACAGCAAGCTTCCTGAGGGAACAATATATATATATATACATATA